TTTTTTTTTTTTTTAATAGAAAATGTATGTGAGCTACATGACATGTAATAGAAATCATTAAAAAGTTTAGTTACTTTCACTTGGTACCCAGCTGAACATGTTTAAACTCTAAAAATGAAGCTGCTTGAAGGTCGACCAAGATAGCATCACAATTCTTGGAGAGATGCAGTGTATGAGCATCATAGATACGTAGTTTTCAGTTACTAATATTTGGGTTTTATGGGTTTAGTCCAAAGTCAACTGGAATTGGTAGGAAAGTGACAGTCTTTGACAACACAGAGATTTTTGTGCACTTGATAAAATACGTTGGATGTACTTAGATTTCAAATCATGGAATTCTGCATTCTGTACACAAGTAATTGGAATAATTGAGAAATGTGTATTTACTTCTGAAGTGATGAGCAGCACATTATTAATCTGATTACTTTAATAATACTTTAATAGCAAGGTAGCTTATTCTTCTAGCGTTAAGCCCACCCTTAAATGCTGATTTTAGCCATGGTGTGGTACTTAGCCACCACTCAAGAATGTGTGTGTCCTTTGGGCTTCTGTTAAATTTGAGCAGAATTTTGCTTTCTTCAACCCTTTCCGTGTTCTGGGATTGTCTCTGAGGCATGATGGCTCAATGCTCCCTGCACTGATAGGTTCTACTAGGATGATCTGTATGGTTTGTGAGCATGAGGCTGTCCTGCAGCTGCCATGCCTTGCCATGGGTATAGTCTGCATGCTCTGATCAATCTTTGAAGTACCATTTTGACAATTGCTGTAGTTAGGAAGTAGTTCAAATTGCTATTCACAGCAGTGGTTATAACTATGTACTCTTGGGTCAGAGAGGTATTGGAATGAGGCCTGCCAAGTTGGACCTTTTGCAAACTAGAATGCCTTACGGTTGTTCAGTCTATGTAAGTGTAGGGCTCTACGTGTTTGAGCTCAGTAGGTGCTTATAGGCACGGTTCCAGTAAAAACAGTGGTAAAACTGATGTTCCAAGAGGGTGCTGCCAAATGAAGAAGCAGGTGGGAATTTCCTTTCCTTGTGAAAGTAATGGTGATTAAATGTAAATGATACTGATTCTACACAAATCAATCCAGAAGCAAATTTGGACACAATTATGTGCTGCACTTGTAGGCCTGTCACAGTTATATGAAGTAGGCTGGTTCAGAGGTGCATATTCTGTCCACAGTAGCCTTGACAATAATCCAGGTTTCTCCTGATCTCCTGTTGGAGGTAGGAAGCACTCAGGTTTTTCCCATTTAGTCCTGTAAAAGAATTGTAATGAGGGGAAAGTAGGTTTAGCCTGGACTTAGAGAGATTGGTGTTTGATCCTGAAACACAGTGCTACCTGTAGCAGAGGGGAGGAAGAAAAGTTTAGGGATTCAAGAAAAAAAATAATGACCAGGTAAATTGAAACCTGAGTTTGAAAGGAGGTTGTTTGTTCTTCCTCTGAAAGGAGCTGTGTGAGTTCTGTGTCACAGAGAGGTGCATTGATTACAGACTAATCCTACAGTATCTCATACAGGAGTTGCATGGTTTGTTCCATGGCCTTATTTTTTAAAGCAGTGCTTTGCATGAGTAGAACTGAGAATCTTTTTCAGTGAAAGTAGAAAGTATTAACTAAACATAGTGATACTTTCTGATTTTCTTTAAATGGACATTTAAATTTCCCTAATACTTATATCAGAATTCAGACTTTTTCCTAAAGTGTGTGTGTGTGTGTGTGTGTGTGTTTGTGTGTGTGTATGTATATAGTGTGTGTATATGTGTGTATGTATATATATATTCTATTTTTCTTCTATTTTTTAAAATGGGTCTGTTAAAGACATAGAAGTAATTACACAGGCATTTTATAATATGTCAAGTAATGTCTGAAATATAAGACTGATCTTTTAATACAGGATGAAAACAGTGAGTTTATTTTTAAGCCTGATTTCCAGATAGTAAAGAAGAAATTTTTTTATGTGAAATGAGAGTTTGCAGGTTCTTGTGTAGATAATGGTCCTACCAGTAGTACTAGCTGCTGTTCTATAAATCTTTATTTACAGAGATAGTAAAATAAGAGGAAAAAAGTAAAATATATTGTTTCTCTAAATGTGATAACATAATTTTTCTGTATAAGCTGTTTCCTAGTTTATTTTTTTCTAAATCACATAGAAATATCAAGTTATTGGCTGTCTCCATGTCCTGAGAAGTTGTCAGGTTTTTATGGAGAATTGTCACTCTTGTAAAGTGCATCATTTGGAAATAGAACTATAATTAGGGCTCCTTATGTTTTAAATGACATTAGACAATAAAGACAAGTCATTCAAGCTTAAGATACTTACATGATATTTTTCAAGTTCTGAATTGGATTTGGCTTGGTGTCAGTAATTACAATGCTTATGTTTTGGAGATAGAATGTGTACAGGAGGAGAAAATGAGTGACGCTTTTCAAAGCTAACCTGCTCCTTCAGGATCAAGTCAATTGAGCTTATTCACATCATGGCATTTCTCATGGGAAAATCCAGCAAGCATCTTGACCTATTCTGTTGTTCATCAAGAAAGATAAAAATGTGAATCGTTTGAATCATGGACTGTTTTTCTCTTTACCATCTACTTCGTTAAGAATCAACTGTAATTAAAAAGTAAGCCTGGGTAATACCTCAAGAGCCTGATAATAGGGATTTTGCAATTAACTTCAATGGGTGAAGGACTGCAACCCTAATTTCTATTTTTGAAATCAAAAGCATGGCCTCTTGTCTAATTAAAATGTAGTTCATGACTTAGCTGAGGTCGTTAAATGTGAGTCTGACATGAGTGTGTTACTTATTGCTGTCTGCACTCTGAGTGTCTTGAAAATTCCTGTGTCATGCAGAGCTCCCAGGCCTGATTTCTGTTTGCACTGTGCATAGCCATTCACTCACATAAAAGAAAACGTCATCTTGGAGCTGAGCTGCATGCTTACCACAGGTATATGCAGTTACATCCAGCACCAGACCTATAGAGAATCAGGTGACGGGGTTCTCAATTTGCTTGGAGTGATTTATCATAACTTAATTGGCCTGTTTAACAGTAATGGCTCAGGTCATCAATTTTGTGCTACATCTGAAGAGCTCCTTCAGCTGAAGAAAGGTGGCTCCAGCTTTTTCTGGTTCTTAAATTGCAAAGATGTGAAGTCTGTGGTGCAGCAGTTGCGATAATGTTGGAATTGTTTGCTGTGTTACGTTGAGCATGTGGGAGCTGGGGAACCTGGGATAGGGAGGGACTCAACAAATGTCCCTACAACATTCCTCCTCCTCCTACTTCTTCTAGCTTCTTGCCCCATAATAGATCTTCCCAATCTGGTTAAATAACCCATCATAATTTTAAAAAACATAGTCTTTCTCCTTATAGCAAATGACTTATCTCTTTATGAACTATCAAGTAACATACCTCTATTTCTCCAATTACGTACATTTCTCCTTGTTACTACATGTTTCTGAACAGATAACAGGGAGCTGTATCTCTTAGTCTCTATAGTGGCAAGCCTTTCTCAAGGCTAATGGGAGCATTATCATAATAACAGCAGAGTTATGAGATGCCAGGGTAGTTTCAAACTTTTTTGTTTCATCTCACATTTACATTTTCAAACTTACTAAAAGCCCAGTGTGAGCTGGGTTGTGCTGCTTTAACATCAGGTTCTGAATCTGTCGAAGTATTTCCACTACTTATTTTTGAAAATATATTCAAGCCCATATTTGAACTTTGAATTTATACAGACACAAAATCAAGTGATAATTTCACAGTTTACTGGGAACATTTCATGCATTCCTACCTAAAATGTCTGGCCAAGCTGATATTTCCCATGCAGATTCTCCCATTGTTTGCCGTGAAAATTCCATAAGAGAAGTGGATCAAGGCTAATTTGCAGACTGTTTTGTTTCTCTTTTTGTCTTAAAATTACTAGAACACGTATAGCACTTTTAAGAAAGTATCAGTCAGCTTCATTAATGACAATTAAAAAGCATAAAATGTCACCAGAGCAACAGCAGCACACATTCAACTGTCAACATATTTAAAAAGATTTAATGCAACCCCTGTGGTTACCCTCAAGGAGAAATAAAGGAACTGAGAACCGTTTTCTTTGAGCTCTTGAGCAACAGCAGTACAACTTGTTTCTAAACAATCCCTCATTGTAATGTTAATGTTACCACAGTTAATAAAAAGTTCATTTATTATTTGGTGGACTTTGTGCTGATGACATTCTAGCAGGCAATGGGTTTTTGCT